TGTGTGGTGTGGCTTTAACAATCCCTGACCCACCCACCTGTGTGGTGTGGCCTTAACAATCCCTGACCCACCCACCTGTGTGGTGTGGCCTTAACAATCCCTGACCCACCCACCTGTGTGGTGTGGCCTTAACAATCCCTGACCCACCTGTTTGGTGTGGCCTTAACAATCCCTGACCCACCCACCTGTGTGGTGTGGCTTTAACAATCCCTGACTCACCCACCTGTTTGGTGTGGCCTTAACAATCCCTGACCCACCCACCTGTTTGGTGTGGCCTTAACAATCCCTGACCCACCTGTGTGGTGTGGCCTTAACAATCCCTGACCCACCCACCTGTGTGGTGTGGCCTTAACAATCCCTGACCCACCCACCTGTGTGGTGTGGCTTTAACAATCCCTGACCCACCCACCTGTGTGGTGTGGCCTTAACAATCCCTGACCCACCCACCTGTTTGGTGTGGCCTTAACAATCCCTGACCCACCTGTTTGGTGTGGCCTTAACAATCCCTGACCCACCCACCTGTGTGGTGTGGCTTTAACAATCCCTGACCCACCCACCTGTGTTGTGTGGCCTTAACAATCCCTGACCCACCCACCTGTGTGGTGTGGCCTTAACAATCCCTGGCCCACCTGTGTGGTGTCGCCTTAACAATCCCTGGCCCACCTGTTTGGTGTGGCCTTAACAATCCCTGACCCACCCACCTGTGTGGTGTGGCCTTAACAATCCCTGACCCACCCACCTGTGTGGTGTGGCCTTAACAATCCCTGGCCCACCTGTTTGGTGTGGCCTTAACAATCCCTGACCCACCCACCTGTTTTGGTGTGACCTTAACAATCCCTGTCTCACCTCACCCACCTGTGTGGTGTGGCTTTAACAATCCCTGACCCACCCACCTGTGTGGTGTGGCCTTAACAATCCCTGACCCACCTGTTTGGTGTGGCCTTAACAATCCCTGACCCACCTGTGTGGTGTGGCCTTAACAATCCCTGACCCACCCACCTGGGTAAAACCTTAGTTTAGCGTCGGAAATTATCGGCTAATGTTTGTTGAGTTTCGGTAACTAGAGTTACGGTAAACCATGGTTTATTTGACCATTGAAATATAAATAAATTGAAAGTCGATTGTAGTAAATTAATGTTTTATTTTTTTAAGTTTAATCGACAAAAGGAAACAAGAATAAATATAATAGTAGATTTAAATTAGTAGATCTAAAAATAAAAAAAAACAACAACATATAGGCCTATTAATATAAATATAAATAATGAAGTCAAATGTAATATTTTAATGTTTTTGGCTTGCAGCGGATTTGCGACCATTAATTAATTAGATCTAGCTAGATATCTAGCTGCTAGGCCAAGTTAAAAAAATCTAGATTACGAAAATAATAAAAATGATTTAAAAATGTAAATATGATTACAAAAATAAATCTATCCAAATTTTAAACATTCTGTATAAAAATAAAAGATGACGCCAAATAAAGTATGGTTTACAGTACGTCCGGTGAATTCCGGAAGTGTGTGACAGACTTTGGCATTGTTTTACTGTTTTTTTACTGCTATACGATTCCGGAATAATAACCGACGCTAAACTAAGGTTTTACCCCCACCTGTTTTGGTGTGACCTTAACAATCCCTGACCCAACCACCTGTGTGGTGTGGCCTTAACAATCCCTGACCCACCTGTTAGGTGTGGCCTTAACAATCCCTGACCCACCTGTGTGGTGTGGCCTTAACAATCCCTGACCCACCCACCTGTTTGGTGTGGCCTTAACAATCCCTGACCCACCTGTGTGGTGTGGCCTTAACAATCCCTGGCCCACCTGTTTGGTGTGACCTTAACAATCCCTGACCCACTTGTTAGGTGTGGCCTTAACAATCCCTGACCCACCTGTTTGGTGTGGCCTTAACAATCCCTGACCCACCCACTTGTTAGGTGTGGCCTTAACAATCCCTGACCCACCCACCTGATAGGTGTGGCCTTAACAATCCCTGACCCACATGTTTGGTGTGGCCTTAACAATCCCTGACCCACCCACCTGATAGGTGTGGCCTTAACAATCCCTGACCCACATGTTTGGTGTGGCCTTAACAATCCCTGACCCACCCACCTGCTTGGTGTGGCCTTAACAATCCCTGACCCACCCACCTGTTTTGGTGTGACCTTAACAATCCCTGACCCACCCACCTGTTTGGTGTGACCTTAACAATCCCTGACCCACCTGTTTGGTGTGGCCTTAACTATCCCTGCCTCACAAATCTGTTTGGTGTGGCCTTAACAATCCCTGACCCACCCATCTGTTTGGTGTGGCCTTAACAATCCCTGACCCACCTGTGTGGTGTGACCTTAACAATCCCTGACCCACCCACCTGTTTGGTGTGCCCTTAACAATCCCTGACCCACCTGTGTGGTGTGGCTTTAACAATCCCTGACCCACCTGCTTGGTGTGGCCTTAACAATCCCTGACCCACCCACCTGCTTGGTGTGGCCTTAACAATCCCTGACCCACCCACCTGCTTGGTGTGGCCTTAACAATCCCTGACCCACCCACCTGTTTGGTGTGGCCTTAACAATCCCTGACCCACCTGTGTGGTGTGGCCTTAACAATCGCTGACCTACCTGTTTGGTGTGGCCTTAACAATCCCTGACCCACCCACCTGTTTGGTGTGGCTTTAACAATCCCTGACCCACCCACCTGTGTGGTGTGGCTTTAACTATCCATGACCCACCCACCTGTGTGGTGTGACTTTAACAATCCCTGACCCACCTGTGTGGTGTGGCCTTAACAATCCCTGACCCACCTGTTTGGTGTGGCCTTAACAATCCCTGACCCACCCACCTGTTTGGTGTGGCCTTAACAATCCCTGATCCACCTGTTTGGTGTGGCCTTAACAATCCCTGACCCACCTGTATGGTGTGGCCTTAACAATCCCTGACCCACCCACCTGTTTGGTGTGGCCTTAACAATCCCTGACCCACCTGTTTGGTGTGGCCTAAACAATCCCTGACCCACCTGTTTGGTGTGGCCTTAACAATCCCTGTCTCACCTCACCCACCTGTGTGGTGTGGCTTTAACAATCCCTGACCCACCCACCTGTGTGGTGTGGCTTTAACAATCCCTGACTCACCCACCTGTGTGGTGTGGCCTTAACAATCCCTGACCCACCCACCTGTGTGGTGTGGCTTTAACAATCCCTGACCCACCTGTGTGGTGTGGCCTTAACAATCCCTGACCCACCTGTTTGGTGTGGCCTTAACAATCCCTGACCCACCCACCTGTTTGGTGTGGCCATAACAATCCCTGTATCTCTATTATTTTTCTTTTGGGTGGCCTAATATATCCCTATTTCATATAGCCAGCATAGTTGGTGTGGATTCAACAATCCCTGTATCTCTATTATTTTTCTTTTGGGTGGCCTAATCTATCCCTCTTCCATATAGCCAGCATAGTTGGTGTGGGTTCAACAATCCTGTATCTCTCAACTAACGCTTTTGTGTATCCTTTGTAATCCCTGATTAACTCAGCTGTTGTGTGTAGTTAATCCGCAAATCTCTAGTTCGTATCATGGACTCAAGTCGGTAGAACGTCCCTGACTTCGCCCGGCATTGAAGGGTACCCGACTCATGAAGGTAAGGGCAGCTGGGCTTAGAAGTTATCACCGTCCATTCAAATAGACAGGACACCGTTTTGTGTGGATTATGGTCCATCTACCTCATGCACCACATGGTCCGAATGGGGGCTTTCTCGATTGTATCTTTCTCGCAATGTAGTTGCCAATGATTCACAAGTAAAGAATGGCAATAGATCTACACATGAGCCTTGCATACAATGTCAATACATCTACTAACTGGCCGTGTCTGCAACACGTCAAGTATAACTTCACCCCCTTTTAGTCTTCTCCCTCAACCCCAAGTAGTCATCAAAATACATATAATCAAACACCACAAGATATTAAGACTTAGCATCATTAATTTTCTTCCAACACCTATCGATGTAAACCAACTATAAAACTTAAGCCTCGACACTTTCTTTCAATTTTCCATTACCATACAATCATCAAACCACAACCTCGTCCCAAACAAACTTTAGACACAAAAAACGACGATAGAGACACCAACTATAAAACATAAGCTTCGCCACCATCTTTCAATACCTGCTACAGATACCTCGGCTAAAACCAAAACATAAGCTTCGCCACCTTCTTTCAATACCTACACTCATAAAACCACAATCATGGTGCTACAGACGTCACAAACACGACGAGCAAGAAACCAAGGGGAACACGTTAAAAGGGAGCGCACCACTTTTAGCCATCACAGGAAGTCCTGCATCTACACGAGCAGTTTGGTGGTGAGTGTATGAATAGAAGGTGGGGCGGAATAGTAGAGCTCGCAACTGCTAGCCCGAAAGTCTAGAGTTCGGATCAAGGCTCTAGTCTGTAGGGCTTTCCTGAGTCCACCCAGCTCTTATGGGTACCTGACGCAAGTTAGGGAAACGACAGCGGCTGGAATGCTGCTGAAAATATTCTTCTCCTGTATGCTGGGGTCATTGAAACAGATGAATTCTACCCAATCTGCACATTGTATCTTGGGGATAAAACGGCAAAAGATGATATGAATAGATTTTTTTTTATTTCTGTCAAATGGTAGTTACTATGTTTTGATCCTCGGTTCGACCAGAAAAAAACCTCACGACTTTGGACGATTGTTCGTCCTGAACTCCCTACCCTCGCTGATCTTCACAAAAGGTAGACACCCACCCCTCTACATGACGTCACACTTCAGCCTAGAACCCTCTTCAAAACTGCGGTTTTTGTTTTTAAAACATCGACTTTACACTTTCTGAATTCCCACCTTCATAAGAATGTGACGTTATTTATTAACAACTCCCAACTATGTGTTGTTTTTTATGAAGATACAAAAGCTATCTAAATAGTTGGTTATGTCACTAATTTTCTTCTTTAAACAAATATTAAATAAAAAAAGAAATCTCATTATCAGGAGACGAAACAATTTTATTTCAACACTTCCGAATCACATTTTTTGTTTTGTAATGCTTAGAACACGTACAGAACAAATCATTTGGTCCATTGAGCATTAACGGCAGTGTACATTTACGGCGTTACCTTGAAGCACACAAGAACAGTTTTTGTAAGCGACACCGTTGAATGAGGAAGGGAAGACTTCGCCGACCTTGTGGCATTTTTTACCGCTGTCGGAGCATCCTGCACATTGATGAAGCAAGTTCGGGGTGTGTTAGAGGCCTTGGTAATGCATGTTACAATGTCTTTTGTATATGGGCCATAATTCTTGTTACTTAGTATTTAGATTATGTTTAATCAATTGGCTTTAATTCGGGTTTGATAAAGCTTTGAATGTGTTCAATGCATGAGTTATAACGTTGTATTAAATTTATGTTTAGATTGTTGTTAATAAATAGGCTGTTATTCTGCCTTGATGAAGTTTAAAATATGTTCAATGTATTTATGCTTGAATCGAGTTTGTTCAAGGTTTTAAAGCAAGATTTAGAAAGTGTTTGAAAGCAACATCTAAATCATATGTGTTAAACTGTAATTTATGGGTTATAGTTCATGCTAAATCAAGTTTATAATGTGGTCCATGTATTGTCAATAACTCCAGTTAAAATAAGATGTAAGACTTGTTAAAAAATACCCGTAACTCAAGAAATAAACCGGGAGTGATCTCCCCTAAACTTTCTCGAATATTCTTATATAACTTGAAATATAGACATGATTTTTAATTACTTTAACTTTTAAAAATAGAATAGAATTTCATAGCAAAAAGAATTGCACACCAAGCGAGCGCCTAAACGAAATGTGCATAATAGTGCGCAATATTATTAGTACTTAAAATTTACATGTGTTTTTTTGAGTAATCGGAAATAGCGTAAATTAGTACTTCCGGGGCGGTCAACGGAAATTACTCAAAATTTGACAGAAGGTAAAGAAATAGATCTTTTACTTACACGTGAAATTTCATTTATCTATCTGAAATAGTACTCAAGTTATAGGCTTTTGAAAACTTCAAAGTAGAAAAAGTACCAGTTCCGGTTATTGGAAATCGCTCAAAAGTTGATTAGGATCTACGATTTTGATAAAATACTTATACTTATATATGAAGTTTCATCAACCTAGCTGTAACGGTACTCAAGTTATCGTGTTTACACACAGACAGACAGACACACAGACAAACAGTTATACGGACAAGATTGCAAAATTATGTCGAGAATTTGTAAAAATCTCGTTTTGTTTTTTGGTTTTTTTTTTGCACGATTACAAGACTTTCACTATAGGAGAAAGTAAAAAGAACATTTTTTTTTAAATGCAATCAAAGTATGTGAACAGCGTTTAGTAACATCCAGCGTATTCAAATTCATTGACAAAATCACGAGATTATAAATACGGCATGATTCAATTTGGAGAACATTAAATCTGGATCGTGTCTTGGTTTGTGCCGTAAAGATTCGAACTTTCGACATTAGCATAAGAGACAGAGAATAAACAATGTAATAATGCGTGGTGGAGACAAACAGAGACTCATCTTGCGTGTGGAGGGGATATGCAACACAACCAGGAAGCGTCTATACAGCATAACAAGACAGGACGTCACTTGGTATTCACAGGGCAAAAGAAAAGAGGCCGATCAAGAAAGACCTGGAGTGTTCTGGAAGAAGACACCAAGAAGATTGGATACACTGTGGGACAGTTGGAGAAGCTAGTATAGGTATGAGAGTCCTGGTCAATAGCTAGGAGGGTTGACACATTCCTCAAAAGCTCTGCCTAACCTAACCTGTAGACTACAGGGCTGGTAAGTAGGTCACCAACCAGTTCTACGGCTCAATAAAACCTGCATGAGCCATATAATTGGTTGGTGACCCACTAACCAGTCCTATTGGAGACTAGTCCAGGTATATAATTCCTGGAAAGCTCTACCTAACCTAACCTCACCTGTAGATATTGGAGAGACTAGTCGAGGTGTATAATTCCTGTAAAGCTCTACGTAACCTAACCTCACCTGTAAACATTTGGAGAGACTAGTCGAGGTATATAATTTCTGGAAAGCTCTACCTAACCTAACCTCACCTGTAGATATTGGAGAGACTAGTCGAGGTGTAAAATTCCTGTAAAGCTCTACGTAACCTAACCCTTACCTGGAGAAAATTGAAGAGACTAGTCGAGGTGTATAATTCCTGTAAAGCTCTACGTAACCTAACCTTACCTGGAGAAAATTGAAGAGACTAGTCCAAGTATATAATTCGTGGAAAGCTCTGCCTAACCTAACCTCGCCTGCCTGCGCCTTAACTGTTTAAACATACCGACGTAACCTGGAGATTCACATCATTCAACTTACCACCAAGTACCAGTTCTACAGAAAGTTGTGTTACGGTGTCCTGTGTTATCTTGTCGCATTTGTAAGTGGAACACGACAGCTCAAACTGGTCCCCGACTGTGTAGCAGTTGTTCTTTAACTCACAGCCTGTGTGGGTAGGAGAGTAACATATTGAATAGCTACACAAAAACATTTTCTTTTTTTTTCTGTAATCCTTACAATTCTTTTCACATTAAAAATAATATTTTAAGCAAAAGTATTTCTTATCCTATTTTCCTCATATTTAAAATAATACACATACACATACACACACATACACAAACTAAGTTAATGCACATTATAATAGAAATAATGGTGCATAAATGTATACATGTTTAAAAGATGTCTGAGAGATGTTGAACTAAAAGCATAAAATGAAAAAAAAAATGTTTGTTGATTTTCTTTCTATTGCAAGTATTCTTTCTTGTTACTCGGTTTTCGTCGGTTGTTTCTGATTATATTAGCACTATATATATATACGAGCCGACCCGCAGCGTATCATACGCCGCTATTTAGTTGTTTAATTTTCTACTTTTCAGTAATTCATAATTTGTGAATTCGACAGTACCAATGCTGCCACTGAAAATATTTGCTTTAAAACACTAACCCCCCCCCCTTTCCCCTAACCCCGACCCTACACCCCCCCCCCCCTCCCCGTGAAAGCAGCCTCCTCTTAGTTATTTCTTAGTTACCTCCTGTAAGTTTAAAATCGAACTAAATTATCTGCCCCTAAAAGGAACCCGGCTTTACGGCTCTACGATTTGTAAACATTTAGCTTTGTAAACATTTAGCGTGACCACAACTCACCAGACAATGTGGGGGTGGGGTGGGGGTGGTAGTGATAGTGATAGAGAGAAAGAGAGGGGACTGCAAGGAGGCGCTTGCAGCTTGTTTTCTAACGGCTCCCAGAAGAGAATTATATATATATATATATATATATATATATATATATATATATATATATATATATATATATATATATATATATATATATATATATATACATATGAGATAATGAGATCATTTTTATCAATATTTAACATCAGCTGTCCTGAGACTTTATTCCCTCCCCACTCCCACCTCCTTCCACCCCAACACTACACACAAAACCACACATCTGGTGAATCTGTAAATCTATGCCTCCCGTACCTTCATGTTGAGCTACCAATGACCCGTTCACACACTTGAATGTGTTGCACGTTGTGTTGGCTGGGACCCCGAAGACCACGCCCTCATGGTACCTCTCACCGTTTAACTCACACCAAACTTTTTCCTTAGTAGGCCACTCATATGCTAAAAACATCAACATGACAAAATAAATATGAAATTCTAAACACATTGAAACGATTTTAGAAAATACACTTCCAATTAAACCAACAATACACAAGGCATTACAGTCTAAACCAGACATTCCCAAGAACTATCAACCCAAATCCTACCTATCTCAGCCTCCGAAGCCGTATCATGTACATTTGTGAAAATTACTAGCATAAATACTATGAAAACCTGTAGATAAAGTAGAGTAAATGTATATGTAAATATATTTTAATTATGTTTTATACAGTTTCTGTCTGATACTAGTAGACACATGATTTTATAGAACGTATGCTTAAATAGATCCTAACTCAATATTATCTTTAAGTTATTTGATTACTTTTATATTCGCCAATTTAAAAATGTCATAAAGTTCTAAATATTTGAAATGAAAAATAAAACGGTATGTTACCAACCATTTTCTTTCTAAAGCTAAGTCAACTGAGCAGCAGAAATGTGACTAGGGTAATGATCACTTCTGTTTTATAGGAAAATACATGGCTACTTTTTGACAACATTCAGAGGCGGATCTACGGTACATTAACATTTTGGTGGATCTACATTTAGTGGACATTTAGTGGTGGATCTGCACTAAGTGGACATTTTGGTGTATCGACACAAAGTAGACATTTTGGTGTATCGACACTAAGTGGACATTTTGGTGGATCTACATTTAGTTGACATTTAGTGGTGGATCTGCACTAAGTGGACATTTTGGTGGATCGACAATAACTGGACTTTTTGGTGGATCGACACTCATCTACAATTAGTGGATATTTTGGTGGATCTAAATGTAGAGGACAGTCGGTGTGGATCTTCACTTACTGGACATTTTGGTGATCTAAGCTTACTGTATATTTACTGGCATGGACATTTAATGGTGGATCTACACTTAGTGGACATTTAGTGGGGGATCTAAGCTTTTTTAATTCATTTTAATAGCTTGTACATTCGCTGTTAGAGTTTGATTTAGTCATTCTCCTTTGATTTTCTGTTGTTGTTTTCTTATAACAGTGATTGACATATGTGTAATTTAGGCGGGTGTTGTAAGTCGACATATATTTAGCAGTTATTTATGTTTTAAGTAGTATTTGACTATATAACATTTATAACATTTATAACTTTACCTTTATAATTCGCTACCTTTTAGATGTTGATTTTTTTTTATCTAAGAGCACCTTTTATTTTTATATTATTCCAGGGAGCAATATGACATAAGCGATCTTGTAACTTCCACATAAGACGGAGAAAAAGCTAACACTGGCCTTTCAGTGGAACGATTTTTACCCATACTTCGAGTTTCCTACAATTTAACAGAAATGTAAACAATTGGATTGTTCCGAGTTTTAAGTATTACCGTACCTCAAACCCTGACTACGCCACTGTTTTACCAGCATACACTTACAATCGTCCTGGGGTTAAATCTTCCGGGTTAATCTCACAGACGCATCTCTCTTTCAAACCTGTATTTTCTTTACATGGCTAACTAACTAACACATCATTAATACAGACCAGCATAGTTTAGCTTGCCTATTCCTGGCTTTAAATCCTGACTTAACTCACAATTTAGCTATAACATTATTTTAAATCTCACCAGCAAATCTTTAAATCCAATGCAGACTAGTGGCAACATAATAAAACAACTGACATCAAATCCTAGAAGCTTATCTTTTAGACTTAACTCTTAAACTCGCATAATCTTTAAGTTGAGTTGCAAACAAACACAATTGTTATACTGACCAGCATCAGATTAAAACCACTACGTCTACACTAAAGTATCTGTAAAATAAAAGAATAGATCTCTAATCAGCGATTTAATTGAACTAGTAATACAATGAACGCGATTTCAGACCGTGAATGTCTGTGGGTATTGAAACATTGGTAACAGGTTGTGTGGTCAGCTATGGCTGTAATGGACTCCTGCTGTTTGGGTGTTAAATCTAATGTTACATGTAGGTTACAAGAGTTTGACTGGGTTATTTTTACCTTTATTGCTTTTTATATGTGCGAAAATTGTATTCTAATGTTGGTTTTCTAAACACATAATATTTATTTTATTTTATTTTTGTCAATGTGTATACGTTCGATTACGTTTAGTGAATATGCATCTTTGTGGGGCGAGGGCCATTTTCAGTAGCCTCCCTTTTATTTTATTTTTTTCTTTTCCTATCACTCGGTATACGGCTTAGAAAGCTGGTCCCAAATGGTTCCAAATGCTTATTGCCAGAAAGCATATTTATCAACCAAAATAGAATATTGTTATCTTTATAAAAATCTGTAGAAATAAGGACTAAATGAATTCCGGTTTAGAAAAGAAATTGACTCGGTATGAAAATATTATATAATATTGTACTGCTACTAATGGTGAATTTTTTTTAGCCGCCTGAGTTGGTATTCTCACAATAGATTTCACTTAACCATTCTGAAGTTGCCTACTGCATCAAGAATATAAACAACAAACAGCGTTGATTTATTTTAAGTATCATTAGACACAAGTCTTATACAATTATTTTAAGTATCATTAGACACAAGTATTATACAATTATTTTAAGTATCATTAGACACAAGTATTGTACAATTATTTTAAGTATCATTAGACACAAGTATTATACAATTATTTTCGGAAAAATAAATCCCAGTAAAACTTAATTGGGTCTTTCATGCACCCTGCTATCACGCGTTGTTTTTCTATTTCCCTGATTTCTTTATTTGAAACAGCAGTGACAGGAAAGCGGTTCTAGAACCCTACTGTAAAGCAGAAGATATTTAATACTTGTATATCGGAAACATTACGGAGGTGTCTCTCATTGAGGTGGTCAAAGGGAAATAGCTCAGTTATTATTTTAGCAAAATTATCTAAGCTAGGTCAATTCCCTTTAAAAGATTGTCTGTATCACTACTTATTATATATAGCTTATATTATATATATATATATATTTATATATATATATATATATATATATATATATATATATATATATATATATATATATATAAGCCTATATATATATATATACATATATATATATATATATATATTGTTACGACCCGACCTACCTAGATCTTTCGATTTAGGAGGGGAGGTAGACAAGAACACACGTTAAATATAACGAATACCTTTTCAATAACAACGTAAGTTTAATCTTCACAACAGAGATACAATATATTGAAAAGTAACCGCCATCAAAATACAACACAAAAATCCTACCACCTATTCAAAACTATACTATCTACAACTACACGTCCTAACTGGTGAGCTGCCGTACCCTGACTGTCTTAACCATCCTAGTCCTAACTTCTTTGTCTCCCCCATCCGGTCTAACCTAATTTACATGTCGCCAACAGTTCTGTCGTGCCTGATTAAAGTGTCAGACCCTGCTAATAAAGTAACCCCATTACGGTCAAACTAGATACGTGTCTTCTACACCTACCCCCATTGATGATGCCGTCGTCCGTAATTACAATCTAATTGCAACACGTACACCGCTAATCGTCTTCGTCAATACCTGTTTAGTCTGGGTCACGTCTCTCGTCAACCCTACCCCTCCAATCTCTGCCCCCACAGTCGTAACAATATATATATAAATATATATATATATATATATATATATATATATAATATAATATAATACATATAATATATATATATATATAATATAAAATATACATAATATAATATATATATATATATATATATATATATATATATATATATATATATATATATATATATATATATATATATATATATATATATATATATAATATACAATATATATATATTATATATATATTATGTATATTATATATATTATATATATATATATATATATATATATATATATATATATATATATATATATATATATATTATATGTATTATATTATATATATATATATACATATATATATATATATATATATATATATATATATATATATATATATATATATATATATATATATATATATAAGCCTATATATTTATATATATACATACATATATATATATATATATATATATATATATATATATATATATATATATATATATATATATATATATGTGTGTGTGTGTGTGTGTGTATAGGCATATTCACGGTCATATACAGGCATTCTCGGTCTTTGTTAGGCAATGTATAAAATATAAACATTGTTCTAGAATATACATTTACTAGGAAAGCATTATTCAGATTGACAATAACTGCTCAAACAAAGTGTGATATGCCCGATTTTTAAAAAAAAAGTCTTTAATAATAACAGTCAAAAATCAATAAAGAAATACAAAAGAAAGAAAATTGATATATTAACTTGAAAAAAGGACAGGATGTGTAAATATTTACTATTTCATGCAGCAATAATCTTAATGTATAAATGGCCATGTGCGCTCTTCTCTCTCTCTGTCCGCAAAATATTTTCGCCGGACATCACGTCAGAATCGGCAGCGATATATCGAGAACTTTTTACGGACTTTTGTTGAAAATGATATGTTAGATGTTTTAAATGTATAACCACAATTTTATTTAAAGAAGAAAAATAAAAAATAAAGGCGTATTCGAATATAGAGAAACAGTATTATTTATGCAACCGGAAAAGTGTATAAACTTGGGACAAGAACGCATTTAACAATGACGTCGCTTATCGTTTACACTAAAATACTAAAACAAGAGCACGAAACTGATGACGTCATCTTCCGAGTTTAGAATTTTAAAAAATGAACTATTGCATTCAAATATGATTTAGAGCTATGTACGCTATGAAATGTAGACTACACAATACGATATTCTCGGCTTATTATAAGTAATAGAGTAGGGTTTGTTTATATAAGGGCATACAGTTATTTTATAAATTCCACTGTTTTTACTCTTTCGCATAACGTCAAGAAAATATTAAATACTCGCACTCTGCTAAAACATATTACAAAGATTAATGTCAAATACCATTTTCGTTTAGATTCTCAGATATAGTGGATACATTTTAATAACATAATAACAGTAGTGTAGAAAAACCTAATTAATTAAACTCTTTTTTCTAATTTTGACAAGGAAGGTAATTTAAAAATAAATTTAACTCACGCTAATATAAAAACGTGAATGCAAATCTACGGTCTTCCTAGAAGGAATTAGTGTTGCAATAATATAATTAGCAAAATGTGAATGCAAAGTGTGCGGATGTTGAAGAGGAAATTATTGTTAGAAAATTATAATTAGCATGGATTGATAAAAGGCAATCTTTTATTTATTTTATTCACTGAATGTACTGTTTACTACTTCTAATTTTTAATCAACCATTCCGCACTATTATAGAAGTGTCATCACGTTCATTGGGTGCGCAATGGTTTTAGTTATGAAACTATTGGAAATTTTTAAAATTTAAAGTACTGGAAAAAAATGCGTGAATTGATAAAGTGATACATGGTAGGTAAAACACGGATATTTTAAATACTACCTATTATTTAT